AGTAGGACTTGCTGACATTCCAATTAAGTTGGTAAAGTAAGGAATAAACATATTATATGAGATGTTGGTTTAACTATTTAACAAATGCTTAAAAGGACAAAATATCCCTGATGATTGGAATGTTAAATACATCAGCTCAATATTCAAGAAAGGGGATAAACGCAAATGCTCTAATTATAGGTAAATAACTGTTATCAGCTCAGTGGGGAGGTTGTACGGTCAAATAATAAAAGAATGAATAGAATCAGAATACGAAGACATAGAAGAACAAAATGGATTTCGTGCAGAAAGATCGTACACTGATTGTATATTTCTTATGCAGCCGGTAATCGAAAAACGGAAAGTAAGGAATCTATCTACCTACCTATTCTTTGTAGATTAAGAGAAGGCATACGATACGGTACCTTTAAAAAAAGTTTCAAACATTGACAAAAGTAGGTCTTAGTAGAGAGTATGTGGATGCTCTCGCAAATATATACAAAAATGCAAGACGTGTCGTCAAAGAAGGAAACTTTATATCTGAATCATTTCCAATAACAAAGGGGCTTGAACAAGTATATTGTCTATTATATATCCAATCATCGCTAGAGTTGTGGAGAAAACAAGTATTCGGAATGGGAATAGACATTGGCGAAGATAAATTTCTAATAACTTTATTTTTCGCAGATGATCAAGTAGCCGTAGCGAATGATGAGGAAGACATGGACTAGAAAACTTAGAAAACTAAAGAAGGAATAAAAAAATTAATTGGGCCTTATTCTGAATATGTCAAAGACAGAGTATTTTTAATAGAAGATGATAAAGAAGATCCAGAGTTAGAAATTAAAAACACAAAAACATGCAATAAATATAAAGATCTCGGATCTATAATATCTAAAGAAGCCACTACCAAAAGAACATCGCAAACAGAACGGAGTGGGTAAAAAAAGCGGTAAGCTTTCTAAACTCTCTACTATGGTCTAAGAAGGTTAGACAAGAAAAAAAATTGACAATCTATCGGATCTTGGTAGAGCCTATTTTGACTTGTGTGGTAAAAGTTTGGCAGATCACGAAAAAAGATGGAAAAAGAATAGAAGTCGTAGAAACAGATTCTATAAGGAAAGCGTCTGGTGTATCCAAAAAAGATCATATCAGGAATTAGAAGGAAGACAAATACTGTATATTTCAGTGTAGACAGAATTTAAAAGGGACAACTAGTGTAGTACGGTCTTCTTCTTCTTCTTCGTCTAGCCATTCACGTCCACATCTGAACATAAGCCTCTTCAAGTCTTCCTTTCCATTGTTTTTTTATTGTACGCTACTTGTAGCCAATTTTTCCCGGCAGTCCTTTTCAGATCATCTGTCCATCTCATAGGAGGTCTGCCTCTGGGTCTTTTGTGTTGGTATGGTCTCCAGGTTAAAATTGATCTGTGCCATTTGTTTAGATCGCTCCTAGCTACATGTCCAGCGTATTCCCATTTCAACATTAATGATTTTTGCACCACATCGGTGACTTTGGTTTTCTGTCTTATCCATTAGTACGGTCACGTGAAGCGAATTAATGAAGATATACGTCCTAAGAAAGCTTCAAATTATATACCACAACAAAGAAAAAGGGGAAGGCCTTCAGTTCCTTGGGAAGAAAATGTACCGCACATATTGAGAGATGGAGCCATCAAAGAAGACGAATACAAGTAGATAGGTAGCCACTTTGGCATACTTTGACCTTTGACCTAAGAGTTACAAGTCCCGTTTACCTTCGTCTCTACACCGCACTCAAACTGCTCCGGGCATGCCACCGCTTTGTCATGACGTTATTTTGATCTACTTTTCCAACAACTAAATATTAACAACTAAATATTTGGTCTTTTTCCATATTAACCATCTTATTTTGTGCTAGTCTTTGTAAGTGTTGTGTGTAGTCCAATTTTTTAATTCTTTTAATATTAAAAATCTTTTGCATTTTATATTAAAAGTAGACTAGTTGATCAGTACATGTTCGAGATCTGTTCGAGATCTGATTACGTCTTGATTAGGACCTGATCACGACGTGTTCAAAGCTGATTAAGACCTGTTTAAAGCTGTTCAGGGCCTGTTCAAAGCTAATCAAGACCTGATCACACATATATAATGAGCACACACTTTAAACACAAAAAAAGCATAGGGTAACATGGACAATCCGGTTCTTCTCTTCGAGAAGAACCGGAGTGACTGACATCATCAAGAAGATAGCCAGACTAAAATGGAGATGGGCAGGACACATAGCCAGAATGACAAATGGGCGATGGACAAAGAGGTTATTGGAATGGAGGCCAAGGGAAGACAAGAGAAGCGTCGGTCGACCACCTACAAGATGGACTGACGATTTAAGAAGACTCAATAAAAACTGGATAAGAGCGGCGCAAGATAGACGGGGTTGGAAACATGAGGAAGAGGCCTATGTTCAGCAGTAGACTCTTGAGGCTGGATGATGATGAACATGGACAATACCAGGATCAACTGAGGGTAATCAAATAGATCATATTTTGATTTAAAAAAGTGGTGAAGGAGAGTTCAAGATGTCAGGTCATATCCGGGTGCAAATGCAGATTCGTAACACGTGCTAGTAATAGGAAATATGGAATTAAAGACACACAAACCAATACACAAAGTAAAAAAAAGAATGTAGGGAAACTAGAGTCAGATATTATTCAGAAACATTATTCTAAAGAGTTGCAAATTTAAAAGTCTCAAAACCTAACAAGATAGAAGAAACGTAGAATGAAATAAAAGGTCACATTTCGATGTCAGCAGAAAAAGTAATTGGCAAAAAGAAATAAAAGGGAAAAAAGACTGGTAACCACGAAGGCTGCGAAACAGCAACTAAGGAAAAAACCTAGCACAAAAGAACTCGCTGAAGACAAGTAAAGCACAGACAAGACTTTGAAAAGTATGAGAGAAAAAAAAAGTCTCAGACAAATGCTGTACAAATAGAAAAAGGAGATGGATGGATAAACTTAGAGAAGAGTTGGAAGTAATAAGCACGAATAATGTAAAGCTATATAAATATATAAAATCCCATAACAAGAAAAACCCAAAAGTTAAGATTGATGTCAAAATAAAAAAGAAACATTCGAAGAGTACTAGAGAAAGCACTTACGAATGCAGGAAAGAAACATATTTAGTAATAAAAACGTAATCGAAAATTCGTCATATGAGGATTTTTACGTGGGACCAGAAATCTGAAACAAAATAAAGCAGTAAGTACAAACGAAATCACAAACAAGCTATTAAAAACAAGGCGGAGAAGAATTGCAACGACCTAATAATGAGGATTTGGGAAGAAGAAAAAATGCCCGAAAAATGGAAAACAGGGTAGATATTTCCTATTTTAAAGAAAGGGACCACCACACAATGTAACAAATATACAGCAATAATATTGTTAAACAGCTGCTACAAAAAATTGTCATCATTAATCAGACGAAGACTCTTAAAATACATTTAAACTAAAAAATGAGATATATCAGCAGGGATTTATGTAGAAAGGAAAGATCGATTTAGAAGTGTTACGAAAATGATATAGACTTACACAACCCTTTTATATATTCCAAGCAAGAATTTTACGACCTAATAAGACCCAACCTAACAGAAGATATGGAAATGTTGCCCCAATAAAACTCATAAAGCTAACGAAAATGACGAGGGAGGGACCGATGGCAGCAATATTAGCGGATGACGGCATCTCCAAAAATATAGAAATAGCAACTGGAAACGACAGGGCGAATCTCTATCAACGTCACTATTTAAAATCGATATAGAAGGAACAATAAGAGCTGCTGAAATGAAAGTTATAATTATACCATCGACTTCGCAACTTGTGGCAGACGCTGACGACGTAGCACTGATTAGCAGAAACCTAAACAGTATAAAGGAAAAATTTGCAAATTTGTGCAAGGAAGCATCCAAGAGGGGTTTGGCGATAAATCAAAATAAAACCAAATTACTAATATGCTCAAGAAAAAGTACAGTTAATGTGACAACGTTAAATATTGGAGAATATGAGTTTGAAAAGGTAAAACACTTACACCAGGTAAATATCTTTTAGTCTCCGTTAATGGAATTAATGAAAGTAGCATAGTAATCAATGAAAGAATTCTGGCAGCAAACAGAGCTTACTGAATGTACAACAACTTCCTCAAAGATAAGAAGCTTATTCAGAATACTAAACTGAACATTTACAGACCAGTAATCACATATGGCGCTGAAGTAATGTGCCTGACACAGAAAAATAAAGAAAGAATGAGGATCTTAGAGAGAAAATTCATTGGGAGAATAGCTGGGCCACTAAACTTAGGTAACGATGAATTTAGAAAACTAATAAACTACGAAGGAAGAGAACTTATAAAAAGAAGACATCGTGATATTTATCGAGTCACACCGTCTTAGATAGATGGGACATCCAGAAAAGAGAAATCCAGAAGCATTTATCAATAATATCACTAAATGGAGACAAGTATCAGTAAACCACGAGGAATACCGAAGACGAGATGGAAGAACCAGTTAATAGCGGACCTTAAGAAGACCGAAGGTAGAGATTGGAAAACCCCAAGCCAAAATAGAAAAGAATTGGAAAATATTGTGGAAGATGCCAAATTACACAACTAATTATAAAACCAAAATGTTAATGCGGACTGATTCTTCATGACAAATGAATCAAAAGAGCTCAAAAAGGACACCAATTACTCTGCTAGGAGTGTAGATGATGACGATATATAAATTACATGATTTTATTGTATTCTAAAAACAAACATTTTATCGTGAGTTCATTTGTATGGTTTTTAATTCTTAAAAATATTGTCTTAGGTTTAATACTCATATTGATACACAATATAAATCAAGCATACTTGTAAACAAAAAGTATTCTTATCTTAATCACCCTGTACACTTTCTTCGCCGATTCCGTAAAACCGGTGGATACTCTGAAGAGACGTGTGTCATACGTCATGATCTGCTATCAGCGCCGTCTCGTGGTGCTCCCACTGTCAATCTCCTATTAATACTGTCGTCTGTGTAATTTCCTTGTTGTTGCGATTAGCTGGGTAGTAGACGCAAGGGCCTGGACTTGAGGTTCGGTTGTAGCGGCAGCTGTTGCGGTTGGGTATGCGCGTTGAGCCGTTGGTGCGGCCGAAGTTGGAACCTGTTCCGTTTCGGCTTAAGCTGGTACTATGCCGCTGAAGTCTGAAAAGTAATTAGAAAACATTGTTTTTAATAGATCAAAACATTTTTCCTATATTTTCCAATATGAGCGTCAAAGTTCATTTTCTGGATTCTACGGTGACTATTTTCCCGAAAATCTTGGAGCTGTCAGCATGGAGCAGGGAGAGAATTACCAAGGAAGATGGGATATCAGAATGATGGCTGATTACTGCTGAAGTAACAATCTTGAAGAGAGTCTCCGTCACAAAAATCCATAAAAAGAAGACCATAAAACGCAGTTTTTATGAAAAAAAAAGAACAGTTTTTATTAAGAAAAAACCAAATATTGTCTTACGTAGGTTACACTGAATTCTTTTTTTAAGAACAACTTAATTTTGAGATTAGCAAAACCTAGATTCAGCAAAAGAAGCTGTAGGAGAAAGGAAAATTTTTAATAATAAATATTTCCAAAAGCGGAAAACTCCGTGGTTCTGCGCAGAAGTGAAAGAAAAATGCAGAGAAAAAAAGAAAGCTTACTTAAGATACATGTCTAACAAAACACCACAAGAATACAACAATTACAAAAAGATAAGAAACGAGACAATAGCACTAGTAAGAAAAATTAAAAACGAACACTGGGAACGCTTCTCAAAAGAAATGGAACACGACTTTTACGGTCTACAAAAGGAAATATGGCGTTTCATAAGAGACCAAAGATCAGAGATGAAAGACTTAATCGAACCAAAACACATAGATAACGACACATGGATTGAATACCTAAAGAAGCTTTATAATGATGAATAGCAAATGATGTTAGAACCAGAAACACCAGAAATCATTACAAACGAGGAAGTCGAGATAACCGTACAAGAAGTAAAACAAACTTTAGAAAAACTGAAGAACAGAAAAGCTGCAGGTAAAGAAGGAATTCCAAATGAATTATTGAAATATGGTGGAGAAGCATTAACAGAACAGCTAACAGCACTAATTAACAAAATCATCAAACATAATAAAATACCTGAAGAGTGGAAGAAAAGCGAGCTTATCCTACTATACAAAAAAGGAGATAAAAAACAACCTGAAAACTACAGAGGTATCAACTTATTAAACACCACTTTGAAGCTTACAACCAAAATATTGCAAGGCCAAATAAATCAGAGAATTACCTTAGCGGATGAACAGCAGGGTGTTCGCACAGAAAGATCGTGCACAGATGCAGTATTCATCATAAAACAGATTACCGAGAAAGCACTAGAGTATAACAGACCAGCATTCATATGTCTAATAGACCTGAAGAAAGCGTTCGATAAAGTAAAGCTTAAAGATGTAATTCACCTTCTTTACGATAGAGAAATTCCACTAGATGTTATAAAAACAATAGAGAACATTTACCAGAACAACAATATGGAAGTCAGAATAGATGACCAGCTTACAGATCCAATAGATATGGGCAATGGAATAAGACAAGGAGACTCGCTTAGTCCAACGCTATTCAATCTAATCATGGATGAAATCATCAATACTATTAATAAAGGAAGAGGATACAAAATGGAGAACAAAGAAATCAGAATACTCTGCTATGCAGATGATGCGGCCCTAATTGCATCCAATGAAGACGATCTACAAAGACTAACCCATAGATTCAACACAAGGGCAAAGGACTTTAATATGGTGATCTCTACACAGAAAACTAAAACAATTGTAATCAGTAAAGAACCAATTAGATGTAACATGGAAATCGACGGTATCAGCATGAAGCAAGTAATGGAGACAAATTACCTAGGAATTACACTGTCTAGCTACGGAGATGTGGAGAAGGAAGTGAAAAATTAAGTACAAAAGGCTAATAAAATAGCAGGTTGTTTTAATAACACGATATGGCGCAATCCCCACATTAATACCGACGTGAAATCAAGAATCTACAAAGCAACAATAAGACCAATAATGACATACACTTCAGAGACAAGACCGGATACCTCCAAAACTCAGCAACTACTAGAAACAGCGGAGATGCGTTTACTGAGGAGAATTACAGGAAACACACTGAGGGATCGAATGAGGAGTGAAGAGATCAGAAGAAAATGCAATATACCAGAAATAAATGAGTGGACACTGAACAGAAAAAAGGAATGGAACGAACACATAAACATAATGGAAGAGACCCGATTAGTCAGAATAGCGAGGGACAAATCACCAAAAGGTAGAAGAAGTATCGGGCGACCACGCAAAAGATGGAGTGATAACCTCCAATAGAGGCATTAATCGACATTGAACAAGCATTTTGCTTATAAAAAAGAAGAAGAAGAATAAGAACTTAATTTTGCAGTGATATTTTGTATTAAATAAAGTTTCAAAAAATATTTTCTTAATATTACTATTTTCTTGAAATTCTGATGAGTTAGAAAAAAACTAAGTACAGATTCGTGATCAGTACATCCCATTTATTATAGGACAGCTATTAAGCTTAAAAAACTTTTTCGTGAAAAAAAAATGGAGGCCTGTGTATTCTATATGGCGTTTTATATTGTTTTTATCAATTTTTTCCGAACTATGTCATTTGTATATAATTTTACATCAGGCGTCACTTAATTATTAAAGCCGCCTTATAAGAGAATAAAACTGCGTTTCAATTTTTAACTTGTTTCCAACAAAAACTTAATTATATCTTGCTTAATGGAAAATAAACAAAGGTTGACAGAGATGCGTGCTATTAACGACAGTTATTTTTCGGAGAAACTTTTCGTGGTTCGGTAATCAATCATCTTATTTCTTTGTCTTAGACTTTAATGCTCGTAAAGTCTTTGTTGTTCTAGTGAAAGTGTTAAAGATTATCTGTAATCCTAATCAATGTTTCTCTTTGGCATAAACAAGTGAAAATCTGCTCTGATATAGTCTTTGCCGTGGTTGTAGGGGTAGCGGGATTTAAGAGGATTAGAAATACGTCACGCCTCAAAGAGATTATGTATATTAAAGGCACCTACTAGAATAATTAATTGATTTCCAAATATAAACTTATAATATAATGCAAGCTTGTATACAGGGTGATCTAGGAAGGTGTTATGTAGATTAAAGGCACGTAATAGAATTGATTGATTTCCAAATATAAATCTGTATAAATAAAAAAAATCTCCAAACTGTTTGTACAAGCATAACTTCAGGACGACTGCACCAAATCAGATAATTCTTTTTTTGTTGTGTTTGTTAGTACCAGGAGACGGTTTGCGAAAGGATATTTTTTTTAAAAATTGTACGGAAACATGAAAAAAACAGTTTTTCTGTCATTTGACATCGCAATATAACTTATAGATGGCGCCATACTATGACTAATTAATAACCTATGATTAACAAAATATATATATCAGTATTGACAGATTTACATAATGACATAGCTGTGTACTTGGTATTACGTCTCTAAATATTAACGTTGGATTTTTAATATATCAGATGGAAATATATATATTAATGATTCAGTTTAGAAAATCTCTTTATTTTGCATACAGAATTGCTGCATTCCACTACAGGTAATTTAGCTGTTTAGCTGGTAAATGGACAACGAAATGGACAGTGTATTTTAAAGATTAGGTACTTATTATTAACTTCATCAATTATTAATGTCACTGCCAAATCTTAAAATTTATCAGATAACTTATTCCGTTCAACCTCAAAAAAAAAAGGTTCCACATGCTAGCAAAGAACTAAAAGCAAGAATTGTAACGAAATTAGAAGATAGTTGGTCACTTTTTGCCGTAGCGAACCATAACGTAAGCAGAACAAAAGTTTTTAATATTAACAAAAGATGGAGAGAACAAGAACTACCGCTTATGAAGATCGTACGCTTTTGGAGAGATTAGAAGAAAATCGTTTTGAAGATGCGAAAATTGCAAGAATTATGTCACAGTTTCCGGGCAGAAACAAAGACAACAACCAATGAGCTAGTGCCACCAGTTTTGAATGGTGTAGAATTGCTTTTGTTGGTAACACTTTTAATAAAATTGTAGCAGTTTCTGGCTTTAGAAGGCTAATTGGGAGAAGTTAGCGGTATTTGAGTTTTGTAGAATTTGTAAGTACAAAGAAATTTAATATTCATAGACAAGGATATTTTGGCAGCCAAATTGATAGGAAGGATTAAAGACGTTTAATCTAAATTATGTGTAAGCAGAACAAAGGAAGGAGTTTTAGCTAAAAGGTTTTCTGATTTATCGTTGCTTCATATTAAGTTCCGTGTACTAGCGTACTTAGACCTGTTAGGTTACTATAACGGCTAAATAGTTAAGAGCATTTAATTTAAGTTTAAACTGCCACAAGTGCTCCTGATGAGAGTTGAATACGTCGAAATATGTGTAGAGCAATGGTAGAGCTGGAATTTAAAAACAAATGCCATTGTTTATGTTTCATTTCAATATATTTTTTCTACGTAGATCCCGAAAAATGGTGTTTTTAATGGTAAACTGTATACATTATATATATATATATATATATATATATATATATACAGTGTAGGTAAAATTTTAAGGTCGGTATGGTAAAATTTAACAGGATATCTAACGCAGATATAAAATCATATTTTCAACGAATTAGACAAAGATAACAATCATATTTCCCCTTCGTCTCCCTCCTAAAATCCTTTTAACACTCATTGGCCATTGCCCATTAGTGAGACGATTAGTTCCGATCAGATATTCTCTGGTTCCGATCCTAATATACCTAAAAAACTAGAGGTGGGTCTTCTCGTTTTTTTAATTTTTATCGGAACCGTTTTTCGTAAACTGTAACTAGTTGATTGTTTACCAGTATTCAAATTAGCGAGTACACAAACATATTAGCTATTATCGTTTATGTGTATAAGTATTGAAATAAAAGAACCTAACGAAGGATATATTTATTGTAACTTGAAAAATAAATTAAATAATACAAATGGCACTTAAATAGTTACATTTACATTACACATTATTAAATCGCGAATCGTCTAAATTGACATTTAAAAACATAAGTTTTTCCACTTTTCTTGTTAATCGCGTTCTTCTTTTATTTAAAATTATACCAGATGTTAAACATGTGTTCAAAAGTAACACATTTTGTTACAATACTACAATATTTTATGAATATAGTGGTTAAGTTAGGATATACATGGCGATGGTTTTTTCACCACGGTAATGGACAGTTCCAATCTCCGTTCGAAATTGTTTGTGGGTAATATATCATCAGACAATTACATGTCGACTTCTTTTATACCTCTCGATACAGGTGTATGTTTAGATGAGTCATGTCCAATTAATTCATCAAAAATACACCATGGACTTAAGTCATCTTTATCAGTTTCTTTTTCTTGGACTGATTGATTTTCAAGATTAACTAAACTTTTCGTTTCATCCATTTTCCATAGTTAAAGAACCAGCTTTTAAAAAGTTTGCAGGGTGGATTCCTGGATATAAACCGCCAACAAGAAAAAACTTTGTCAGATTCATTACTTCAGGAATGTTATGTCAAAAGTGAGCAAATTATTAGATCGCAAGTTGTTAAAGAAGTAGAAAATATCTGTATTACTACTGACCTCTGGACATCTGGAGTAACTGAGAGTTACTTCGCATTAACAGGACAATATTTAACCGAAAATTTAGTATTCAAAACTTTTTTATTAGGCTGCTGCCATTTTTCTGGAAACCATAATCCAGAAAACAGCGATTACTGAAATTATTAATCAGTCGGGTCTAAAACGAAAAGTAAATTTTGCAGTAACTGATAATTCCTAAAATATGGTCAAAGCTATTAAATATGTTTTGTTTTATGATGATTGTGATTTATGATGATGATTAAATTTATTGGTGGGGGACGCACTTAAATGCTGTCTTGTACAAATAGATAAAATAAAAAGTCCTTTTTTCGACAATTCTGCAAAAAAACACATTTCAAAAAAGTACCTTATCTTCAGAAAGGCTGTTAAAGTATTAATTACAACAGAACACAGTTCCCAAACGGCCAATCCAAGACGTGGAAACTAGGAAGAACTTCACCTATTACATGTTAAAAAGAATGACCGAGTTAGAAGAGACAACCCGTTCCACATTGGTATTAAATAATACAGACTTAGACTTAAACCTAATCTAAATAAAGAACACTGGATTATTTGTTCTCAACTTTCCCAAATTTTACGGCCGTTTAAAGAAATAACAAGTACAAGAAATAACAGTGATTGTTATGGTACGCTGCCTGCAAGAATCTTGCAATAAAATTTTAGCAAACGGCATACTTACATCCATAGTATATGACATAGTACAATTACTAATATCGGGTTTAGCAAAAAGATTTAGAGGGATAGAACAGAGTGGCACATTGTCATTATGTACATTTATGGATTCACGATTTAAAGTGCAGAACAAAACAAAAAGTTAAGAAGCTGGTTACTTCTATAATTAACGAACAAGAAGATTGTACTATTGAAAATCAACCAGTACAAGAAAAAGAAACCAATAAATATGACTTAAGTCCATGGTGTATTTTTGATCAATTAATTGGAGATAACTCATCTACACGTACACCTGCATGGAGAGTCCATTACAACGGTGGAAAAACCATCGCCATGTATATCCTAACTTAACCACTATATTCATAAAGTATTGTAAATGTGAACACATGTTCAAAATCTGGTTTAATTTTAAATAAAAAAGAATACGGTTAACAAGAAGTAAAGTAGAAAAACTTATGTTTTTATGTCAATTTAGACTATTCGCGATTTAATAATAACGTGTAATGTAAATGTAAGTCCGATTTACTATTTGTATTGTTTAGTTTAGAACAGAATATTTAAAACAGAATATTTAAAAATTGGACGAAATACCACAGATCTGAGGCTTGCAAACGCAGTCATAAAAGGCTGCAACCAGTATAAATATCTAGGAAGCATCATATCAGCAGATGGCAGAGTTAAGATAGATGTACAAAACCGAATAACCCAAGGGAAAAAATGCATCCGAATACTGAATTCATTACTGTGGTCTAATAAAATAAAGATGCATACCAAACTTCGCGTATACAGAGCAATTGTAGAACCAATTACCACATATGGTGCCGAATGTTGGACGATGACAAAGAATGAACGAGATAAAGTAGACGTTGTGGAAATGGATTATCTTAGAAGGTCATGTCGAGTATCGAGAATGGAAAGAATCAGGAATGAGGAAATACGAAACCGTACAGGAATTAGAGATACTCTTTCAGATAGAATACAAGAAAGGCAATTACAATGGTATGGTCACGTGATGAGAATGGAGGAGGAGCGGTGGCCAAAGAAAGCCTTAATGTATGTTCCGCCAGAAAGAAGGAAAAGGGGAAGACCACCAAATTCCTGGAGAAGAGAAATTACAAAAACAATGCAATCTAGAGGCTTAGAAGAGGGAGATTGGGGAGATAGGAAAAGATAGAGGCTGAAATGCGAGAAGAGGCAATCGCCGTAGGACCCCCGTTATATGATGATGATGATTGTTTAGTTTATTTTTCAAGTTATAATAAATATATCATTAGGTAGTTACTTTCACTTCAAAAGATATACACATAAACGATAATAGCCGTTATTTTTTTTTATGTAGGTACTATCTTACTTGAAACTACTTTTAAACAATCATAGTTACTTGTTTATGAAAATTAAAATTTTTAAATGCTTTTTAGCATTCAAAAAAATTTAAATTTTTTTGGAATCCTGAGAAAACTAACAAATATTTTTGAAAAATTTAAATGCAGAATGAAAGATTACATTATTACCGAGGGCCGAAGGTCCCTTAGAATAAACAAAAAGTTTTTTTAATGAGATATTTGAAATTAAAAATCACACTAAATTTTGTTTTTTTTTCATCCCTATAACTTATTAAAATAAACATTATAGAAGTTTTCAGGGACTTTCAGCTCTCGGTAATAATGTATTGTTTCATTCTGCGTTTAATTTTTTCAAAAATATTTATTAGTTTTCTCAGGATTCGAAAAAAATGAATGCATTTAAAAAACTTTGGCTCGAAATTTTGCTCCTACGCTGTTAACGATAAACTAGCACGACCCACCTCTACTTCTCGTTACTCGATCTTTTGACCAGACCACAATCTAGACTAGACGTTGCCAAATAAATTAGTGTATGAATATTTTTTAATTTGGCGTTATTGTATGCATGTTTAATTGTTTATTATTTCATATTGGGAAATTATTTTGATATTTAGATTTTCAGTTCGGAAATCGTACTTAAAATACGAAACATTAATAAATTTTATTTATATAAAACGATTTCCGAAATGAAAATCAAAATGTTATATTACAATTATTGTAAAGAAAACTTGTGGCATATTCCCAATAAAAAAAACAGTAACCTGCCATTTAAATCAATTTCGCCCAAATTTGATTGTCTTGAGCATTTTATCTTCTTGATAGAACATTGTTCAAATGCAAAAAAAGACAACAGGTCAAATAAAACCAATAAGTTTGGCAACGTTGAATTTCCCCTTTTTTAATATTTCCATTCGGCGATATAAAGGGCGTACCTAATATACCTCTCTCTTTTTAAACAGCTGTTTCTCACTCCATCTCACGTAAGGTCCATACCGACCATAAAATTTTTCCTACACTGTATATATATATATATATATATATATATATATATATATATGTATACATATAATTTAAGTAAATTTAGATATAGTTCATATATTTATTAAAATTAATAAAGATTAATAAGTTTTTTGTGAAAAATATTTACCTTAAACTGTGTCTGTCTCCATTCGAAATAAAACTATCTTCATGCGTTACTCCATCCGGAGATTCCCTGCCGCTTCTGAAGAGATTGTTATTGCAAAACAAAATTAAAAACAGTCTCTTGAACTTCTCACCAAAGATCACATAAATAATAAAATTAACACTAGAATTTATCGTCACTAACAAGTTACTGGTTTGCAAGAGGTAGTCTAGTTCAAAGGGTATTTGGACTTGGAAAGTTTCTATAATATTTATCACTAGTGGTAGGAGATTGCAGATGAAGAAGACGACGACTACACCTAGAAGCATCGTAGCTAGGCCGATTTCTCGCTTCTGGTTCCGAGAGAGACGCTGGCGCTCTTTGTTCGCTCTTAGTACCTGAAAATAAACACATAAATACATTTTACGATAAAATTAACATAATAAAAACAGTATACGTATTTTTATATTAAGATGAAATTAATAAGTTTTCTAAAAACCAAAGTTCTTTGGCGCGGAATCAAATCCGTAAAACCATAGTGAAATCATATACATATATATTGGAACTTTTTTACCGGAACATAAGATTTTCAGTACAATTATTGAGATTTCCTAATTTGTAATTAACCAGTGTAAATTTCAATACACTTTCGGGGGAACCTGTAACTCCTAGAGAGCGCGTCCCCAAGGTGGCGGATAGGGGCATGTCCTCACCAGCCAAGTGCTGGCGGATAGGTAGGAAATAAAATACTACCCGCGGACCAACAGGTAGGGCGGAGGATGCTCTAAAGCTGTAGAGAAAGCAAATCCTCTAGGAGAAGGAATACTCCAAAATCAAACCCTGGTCTTCCAGGTCGGGGGTTGAGGCATCGGGTTAACTCCCCGTTACTCGGAAAAATTCAAACTGTTAAAAAACCTAGCGAAACGCCTCGGAATCGATGGATTATAGCACGACGACACATGCTACGGAAAAGGATAATGAATATTGGAACTTGGAACGTACAAGGGTTTAAACAGAAAATAAATGAAGTAATACATGAAATAAATAGACTGAACATAGACATCGCAGTGATTACCGAAACAAAACGAAAAGGTCAAGGATCAGAAAATATCGGAGAATATGATTACTTCTACAGCGGGGTACCAAAGGAGAAAAGAGTCCAACAAGGCGTAGGTATACTTATACGCAAGAAACTAATGAGATTCATAACTACTTGGGAAGCCATCAACAAAAGGCTCATAAAAATGAATCTATCTATCAAAGGAAAAAAGATTACAATTATTGGAGTATATGCAGTAAACGATGATGCACTGTTGAATATTAAAGACGACTTTTTTGAAAAGCTACATTCAGAAATTGCAAATATCGGCAGATCACGAGAAATTATAATCTTGGGGAACCTAAACAGTAGAACAGGCAAGAAACAACACAACAAAGTCATAGGCCAATATGGTGAAGAGGCTATAAATGACAACGGTACTAGACTAATAGCCTTATGCGAACAAAATGATATGAAAATCACAAATGGATTCTTTCAACACCGAAATATCCATAAATATACATGGACACAAAATACCCGAGGGCCGAAATCAATCATAGACTATACAATCATAAGACAAAAGACTAAATTGATTGTACAGGATGTGCGGGTATATAGGCTCCTAGAGGAGCCACTTGCGGCAGTGACCACCATCTATTAAAAACAAAGCTCACAATAGGCGTATTGGTGGGACGAAGAAATAGAACAAGAGATTAAAAATAAAAGAGAGAAGTAGAATACAAGAGGGCCCAAGCTAAAGTGCGAAAAATGATATGCCAAAAGAAGAATGAGGCTTGGGAGCAAAAGTGTAACATGATTAATACACATTTAGGAGGACAAAGAAGTACAGAAAGTTGGAAAGTATTAAAATCGCTACGACAGGAAAAGAAAAGAGATATAATATCATCAATCACACCGGATATGGGACGAATATTTTAAAAAACTCCTAAATGAGGACAGAGCGGAATTTTTAAATAACAGTGATACCAGCAACGTAAATATCTTAGCCTCACCATTACGAATAACAACAAAATAAGTAGAAGAAATATGTAAGTCTTTAAAAAATAACAAAGTACCCGGACCAGGGAACATACTAGCTGAACTAATAAAATATGGCACAACAAAATTATATGAAAACCTGGTTAAACTCTTTTAAAGATACATCAACGGAGCGGAAATCCCAGAAGTATGGAAGACATCATGGATATCCACCATACATAAAAAAAGGCAGACGGGATCAATGTGACAACTACAGAGGCATCGCTGTAACGAACTCGATCAGCCGAATATACGGAAAACTGATTAAAAATAAAATCGAAAATGAATATAAAGATATAGAAGCTGAAGAACAGGCAGGATTCCGGGCAGGGAGATCAACGGTAGACCATCTGTTTTGTATTACACAGATTATTGAGAAAAAACTGGCCGTCAACCAGGAGGTGCATCTGTTATATGTGGACTTGAGAAAAGCGTATGATAGCATCCCACAAAACAAACTATGGGAAGCATTAGAGAAAACCAATATAAGCGCAAATTTAATAACAGCGACGAAACAACTGTAACAGAGAATCATCTGTAACCTCTATTGGAATCAAACAGCAAAAGTGAAAGTTGAAAACGAACTGACCAAGGATATCCAGATTTGCCGTGGGGTCCGCCAAGGGTGTATTTTATCACCCTTGTTATACAATTTATACAGTGAAGCCATCTCAGAATTAGCGCTTGCCGAGATCAGTGAGGGCCTTATAATAAACGGTGAGCCACCTAATAACATAAGATATGCTGACGACACCGTCCTTTTGGCAGGAACACTAGAAGAACTGCAACACCTTGCTGAACAACTAAATATATATTGCAACGATTATGGACTAAAAATCAATTTGAAGAAAACCAAGTTCATGGTATTTACAAAAGCACAAAACATCAAAGTTAAGCTAGTACTAGATAATACAGAAATTGAACAAATATCTTCGTACAAATACCTTGGAGCATGGATCACAGAAGATACTGATCAGACAAAAGAAATAAGATGCCGCATTGAAATTGCGCGGTCAACTTTTAATAGAATGAGAAAACTTTTTTGTAATCGCGATATCAATATATCGCTCCGGATAAGAATGCTTCGATGTTATATTTTCTCTACCCTCTTGTATGGAGTTGAAGCTTGGACACTTAAAAAATCCAACATTAAAAACCTAGAAGCATTCGAAATGTGGTGTTACCGACGCATTTTGAAAATATCATGGATGGATCGCAAAACAAACGAACAAGTTTTCGAACAACTAGGAAAACAATGCGAAGTTTTAAATTCCATAAAGATCAGGAAATTGGAATACTTGGGGCACATCATGAGAGGTGAAAAGTACGAACTACTAAGGAACATAATGCAGGGTAAAATCAAAGGTAAAAGAAGCGTAGGAAGACGTAAAATCTCGTGGCTACGCAATCTCCGTGAGTGGTTTGGATGCAGTTCAATTGAACTATTCAGGCGAGTAACCAATAAAATTATAATTGCCAGAATGATTTCCAATCTCCGATAGGAGTGGAACTTGAAGAAGAAGAAGAAGACGAAACAATTGTATACCAAAACTGCAGCAAGGGTGAAAGTTGGAAGCGAACTATCGAGAGGATTCCAAATTAGCAAAGGCCTAAAACAAGGGTGCTGCCTTTCACCGACATTATTTAAGATCTACCTCGAGCAAACTCTAAAACTTTGGAAACGCAAAAAACATGGGATTACCGATCAACAACAATACAATATACACTTTGTCATTTGCAGACGACCAACTTGTACTAGCGCAAGACTACGATGATATAGAATATATGACAAGGAAATTAATAGAGGAGTACAAAAAAGGTGGTTTGGAAATAAACATAAAAAAGACCGAATATATGTGTATCGGTGGGACACAGCAGGACCTTACACTGGGGAATGGCAAAATTATTAAACATTGCGACGCATATAAATACCTGGGTATGACCATCACACAAGAAGGAAACGTAGACCGGACGATAGATGAAAGAAACAACCAGGGAAGAAAAGCAATTACCCTTCTCAATAGCATACTGTGGGACCAGGCAATATAACAGACATAGAATATACAATACAATTGTTAAGAGTATAATCACTTCCAGCAGTGAAGTATGGCAAATAAAAGAAAGATAGAAGAGAAAACTTGAAGCAACAGAAATGGATTTCTGGAGGCGCTCAGCAGGAAAATCAAGATTAGAAAGGGTAACTAACAACAGAATTAGGGAAATAATGAATGTGAAACACACAATAGTAGATGACATTAGTACCAAACAGCTTAGATGGTATGGACACGTACAAAGAATGTCCGAAGAACGACTCCCGAAACAAATCCTAACGTGGACCCCTCATGGTAGACGAAAAAGAGGAAGACCCCGCCTTAGTTGGAGAGAAGGCATAAATCGAAATATGAGAGAAAGAGAATTAGATGAAGACCTTTGGATGGACCGAAGTGAATGGCGACTAGGCATCGGAAGACGTAGGAGAACGTTTTAAAACCGATATATATATATATATATATATATATATATATATATATATATATATATATATATATATATATATAATAAACATTTGTAATTGTTGCAAAATCAAATTATTCTGGCAGTTCAATTACTTCCTGTCAACTTTGACGATATTTCTTCTCGTGATAAGATCAAGTGGCCTCCCAGATCACCAGATTTATCCCCAAATGATTTGTTTCTGCGGAAATTTTTAAAAGCAAGTATTTATCGACATGGTTTTTCGAAGAACTCGAAAATTAGCGAAATTAAGGGAGAAAATAATTAATCTTAATGATAAAGCGATATCTATATTTTTTTTGTTTTTATATGTGCAGTAATCATTTTTCAAGATATTTTTTTAATATATTTGATTTTTTTGAACAATTGAAATTTCATTCATATCCTTCTACTCCTGTTGTATGTTTTTACACTTTTATAAGGCAAAGGTGTTTCGGAACTCAGAGGAAACCTGAGACTAAATTTAAACATGTTGGGTTCTCTAATTAAGATCAATTTCAATATAATATATATATATATATATATATATATATATATATATATATATATATATATATATATATATATATATATATATATAACAATTATTATATTATTGTGAATTCTTACCTGTCTATATATACAAGCATTTAACACAGCCAGAGCGACGAAGGGCACCAGGTACATACATATTAAATACAGCCAATGAATGTATATGTGGATATAAGTCTCATTCCCTCTTAATTCGGATTCTCTTACACAGTAGATGGTCGTGTTATCTCGTTCACTCCATTCCTTCTGCACAGTTGTTTCCCACAGCTTCGGCAAATTGTACATGGCGGAAAATATTATGATTCCGACCACGTAAATCCGTGCTCTACCGTACGTACAAAGCGATCGTGCTCGCAAAGGATGGCATACAGCTACAAATCTGGAAATAATAGTTTATTGGAGTACAGACAATAAAGGGGCTATATTGAATTTAGCATAGAGTATGTTAGAGGCATCATAAAGGCAAAATGTTTAATTTGTCTTTGTTTAATTTGGATACATACGGTGTGCTTGGATTATAATTACCTTAAGGTCGTTAAATTGTTAAAGTGTTTTTGGTTTACCTAAAATTTTGGTATTTTACTAAAGAAAAGTCGCACAAAAATGTAAAAGTACATGAACAACAGATCACATGAAGACTATTAGGAAAATAAAAAATAGAACAAATAACGTAATTACAGAATACAAAAAAAAACATACTGGGAAAACTTCTTGTTGGAAATGAACCACGATGTGTACGGATATACAAAATAAAAAGATATGGAATATGATACGAGAGAAGAAAAAAACCAACTAATAAATTAAAAGCAAAGGTGGAAACATGGAAAGTATTGATAGAAATAAAATTCTTGAGGTTTTCGAATCATTTTATCGCGAAATGTATGATAGCACCAACGAAAGGCAAGATCAGCCCCTGCCCAAAATCACAAACCAGGGATCAGAATTAATGCGAAATCAAAACGGCACTTATAGAAACGAAAAATAACAAATCTCCTGGTGATGATGAAGTAGTGGTCGAAGGGATCAAATTAGGTGGAAATAAAATTATCCAGGCTTTGGATAAGCATTCTACCAAATGCATCAACCAAGGAAAAACTCCTTTTCAATGCAGCAATGCAGTCATTATTTCATTACAAAAGCAAGGAGACATAACAGATTTCTAAAAAACTTCCGTCCCATCAGTTTGCTTTCACATACATACACACACACACACATATATATATATATATATATATATATATATATATATATATATATATATATATATATAACCTTTTCACAAAAATTATCAAAAAAGACTTGACGATGATAAAGATACAGCACTAACGACCACTTACTAGTCATAAAGAACCTGATAGAAAAGCCTGCAGAATACAACAAACCATTGGCACTGATATTTGTCGACTACAAGAAAGTATTCGATAACATAAGCTATCAGAAAATGTTAAAAGCATTGACAGAATGCCGAATAGACCATAATCAAATATATTTACCAAAATGCCACAGCTAGCGTAAGACTACCTAAACAAGTAACAAATAAATCCTGTATACAGCGAGGAGTACGGCAAGGAGTCACCGTCTCTACGAAGCTATTGACGATGCTTTTAGAACAAACTTGTAATAGTGGTTTCCCACGATCGGCAATTCTACAGATCATCGCGGACAGCCGATCAGCACGGACGGCAACGCACCGCAGACAAAGCTCTTCCTACGGTCCGTGACAGTCTGTGTAGGTCCGTGACAGTAGTGTTTGATTATATCATAAAAAGGCCACTCAGGCTTGTAAACGTCATCAGCCCCACTACCAGTTCCCATCGATTCTCTAACTTTTGTTTTTTTGCCTTCTGTATGTCGACATTAAATTATCTCTCTTCTTTTTTAATTCTTTAATCGAAATAGTAATATTCTTCAGTTGATTTTTTATTCGGTTCCATGCATCGTATGCATCGTTCCGGTTCTTATGTTCTGGCGCCGTGGAATTCCATAAACTTCGTTCAACTTGATACAAATTTAAAAAATCAAAAACAACTTCTCACGGTGTGTGGTGCGTGCTGGTCCGCTTACGTCCGCAATATCACCGACCGTGGGAAGTCGCTATAAGAAGGCACATCTGAACGAGCATGGTATCAACATAAATGGAGAAAAACTCAGTCATTTGAGATTTGCAGATGACATCATTTTTATAGCCGATCGTGTCGATGATGCAATAATATTGTTTGAACAATTATATCATGCTTCCTTGGAGGTCGGACGATTAAAATGAACAATGCGCAAATAATGACTAATCTGGTGCTAAATCGAAATATTGCTGTTGATAGAAGGTATATTGTGCAGACTATGATAATGATAAAGAAAGATCAGAGTATTAGTAAGAAATATTTGCATAAATTGTTTAACATAAAAAAGTTGCGTAAATTATTTCTAGGCAGCCGCCTAAAACAAAAGATTTCGTTTTTTTGTAATTCCAAATGGTCTAGGATGACGTAGATTTTCTGTCAACAAGATACTGGTAGATATTTTGTTTGTATAATTGAAAGAAATGAAGAGACAGAAAAATAGGATTGGCCAAACGAAGGAGGTGCCAAAATATGTGTTTTATTGTAGTGTTGTGATTGGTTAGGGAAGAGATTTTGAAGAAGTATAAGGAAAGGAATCCAAGGTATGGATTTTCGAAAAAAGAAGAGAAGTTAAAGAAGTTTGGTACGAGCTTTGAAAGAAAAAGGAGGTTTCTAGTTTCTTGGTCAAATTGTAAAAGAAAAATAAATATTGTTGAGTAAAAAGTGAAGAATAGTTTGTTTAGTTTTGTGGTAGCAGCCAAGTAGTTTAAGCAAAGATCTTTAAAGCTCACAATTGTAAATTTCTTTAAATATAAATTATTTGGGGATAGGCTGTCTATGTCTTTCTTGAGAGGACACCAGAATCGGAGTGTTATAAGCAGCACCAGGTTGTCAATTTTAATTTCGAAAAAAAAAAAATTCTTTCACCAAAGATTGACTTAGAAGGAGAGTACCTGAACCAGGAAGAGTTAGAGCCTAAGAAGACGTAGTTGTAAATTATGAATTAATTTTTTTTTAATTTTTAAAAGACAGTTGCAGTGAGTTTAAAGTGGATCAAACATATTTTATCGGTGATTGCATAGAAACAGTTTTCTAATTAATTTATTAAAACCGAAGAGCATATATATATATATATATATATATATATATATATATATATATATATATATATATATATATAATTCTTTGGAGGGTAACTTTCGGGAAAGCGTCAAAACAAGGATCAGCTAGAGATGGTATAAGCCAGTTTGGTGTAGAACTTTATTCTAAATGTGAAATTTTCGGTGATATGTTGTCACCTTCATCAGCACCTAAATGGAAAACCTATTATAGTACAGTGGTGGAAATCAACATTTAAAAACCTACATTGAAAATGTTCAGTTGGTCCTCATCTCTAGCTGATCCTTGTTTTGACGCTTTCCCGAAAGTTACCCTCCAAAGAATTGTATTCTTAGCGTCGTTATACACACTCTATATATATATATATATATATATATATATATATATATATATATATATATATATATATATATATATTAATAATACAATATATTAATAATAAAATATATTAAATAAACAATTCTTACCTTTCTAATGAGACTGTAACAGTAAGATACACAGAGGCAGTTTGAACTACCGTGGCTAGCGGATACACCACCGGTGCTATGTGAGGTAATACTACGTAGAAATATGTAAATAACATTCCACTGTATGGATATAAGCCTGAAATAGAAATATTTATGGTCAGAAAGTCATAATACTAGACATAGCTGAGTTTCTCTCATAAATTACTTAGGTTTTTTAGCACAGTTAAATTCAGTTTAAAGTTTATTGATGATTGGTATTCTAATTATTGGCAAAAGAAACACTATTTTGCAAAGTATTAGTTTTATGCTTTTCAGAAATTAAATAATATTATCGATTGGCCCAAAAAGTGAAGAGTGTTAAAAACTAATCTACTTAATCAGTGAAAAAGTAAAATAACACAAAACAAAACTAAAACAACATTTAAACAGAATGGATGTAAATTGACTAATTAAACAACATGCGAAATCACAAACCGAAAGGAAAAAGAAGTGCATGACTCTGCTTAAATGAATAGACTGCAGTTGGACAATTTTTTTTAATTTTGAGGAATACGTGGGGTCAGTGGTAGAGATTTGACTAATTTCAAGTTAATTTACAGTTGAAAGTTCTGTGGAAGGCTCTCCATCGCTCAGATAGTTTGGAAAATTATTAGATTTTGCAACACACCTTGACTGTGGATCCTTTTCATCTTTTTCCCAGTTTTGCGAAGTGCTTGATTTTAAAGCGGAAGATTGATTGCTGGCAGGTTGAGAAACTTCTCCCAACTCTTTGGTTGTTTTTGATTGAGATTGCTCAGGTATACTGGTATTTGAAGTAGCATTACTCGTGTATGTGGTTTCGTCTGTCATTATTTTCTTTTTATTTTCTGTTGTATCAGACGAATTCTTAAAGCAGCCTTTTGCAGTCTTATAGTCTTTAGACATCTCTATACTTCTCTCAGTTTTCTTTTTTACAATTCCTTCCAAACTTGAACACCTACTATTTAATAGTTTTACAGCCTTCTTTTGTACTCTAAGGTCATGTTCAATTTGTTTCATTTGTTTAAAGTTTTCCCTGGCCTCTAATTTAAGTAAACAGAATAACGTTTCCTCTTCTGTTGGCCAGCAAGTGCACCCATGCCATTTTGGTAGCAGTAAAATAATAAGAAATAAGACAATAAGAAACTGTCATTAAACTGTCAATATGACCTCAAAGAACATGAACTGATTTCTTTTAGTTTTATCAGTCCAAATTTTAGGTCTTTTAATGTACTCCAGCATTAAATGAATTACATTAATGCATTTTAAAGATTTCACAGAAGAGTTTTATCAGTACCCCCATCAAATTTCATACTCACAACTGTTAAGAAGCCAGAATCAATCATTTGAATCCTTTAGCAAAATTGTTGAAAGCGCCAAAAATCCACACGCAGTTTCCAGAAACAGAAAGAATAAATGTCATGGAAGAGTTTTAAAGAACATTTTTGTAATTCTAAAGAACAAAACCAGTACGGAGTTAGAACAGTTTCTTGATCTAAATGCAATGAACGGAGTTGAGGAAACATCCAGTTTTTCGACAATTTTTTTGTCAAAAAGTGATAGTTTTGGTCCCCATGCGAGATTAGCCCTAAATATGGGTTAAACATAGAGAGCCGTTTCGAATCAAAGTGGCTTCAACAGAAAGCAAGACATCTGGCACGAAATAAGAATAGCGTTTATGCGACTTAAGCAAGTTCTAGGAAGCCAAGGGTTTGAAGAAGACAAACGACAGCCAGCAATTTGGGTCTTTTCTGACCACGAAATCAATGATCAATAAGAAGACCACGAAAACAATGAAATGACAACTTACTGGAGACACATTAAAAAACAGACAGAGTCATGTCTGCATAAAAAGATCAAGAAGAAGAACAAGCTCAAAAGAGCGACATGCACACATTATAGAAAGGGAGGTACAAGACGACTTTGTAAAATTCAGAACATCGTTGCCAAGTTTTATCTGAGAGTTTGTTACAACTATTTTATTTTTTAACGAGAATACCTTTTAACTTTTATTGTTTGCTATGGACTTTTAATTTTCGATTAACCAAAGACGTTAAATGAAGAAAAACACATTAAAAGGAGCGTCGCCATTACGTTTAAATAGTTGATTAGTGAAATAATAAAACAACAAACATTGTTTGTATTTTTCAGATTGAAATTTTAAAACAGTTGTTCAAAAAGTAGTAGATTTTGCTACAGAGAATGAAGTTTTCTCCCCTTTTTTAAATTTGCCACTGCGCAGCCGGAACTCACGTCTCTTCAATAATTTGGGCTAGTATACACAAAGTAAACATCCGTTATATGAAATATAAATCAGAGTTTCTAAGAAATTCCCACAATACAAATTTTGTCTAACAATTACGATATATATAAGTCACTTAATTATATTACCTGGTAATCCAAACAGCAGCATACTCGTTATAATCAACACCGTGTCTACTCTTGCTAGTCCAATAAGCAAATAGTTAATACTGGATCTCATCTGCGGCCTAGACAAAATAATCATAGAGATGATGTTTCCTAGCACTCCAAGTACCCCTATAATATTCATCAGAAGACCATTGACGACAAACTGGAAGAACACAATCGTTTCCGAGTCCAATATACATGACTGGAAATCTGTGTCGTTTGGATTGGCGTTGACGATGGGCCAAACGATGAACGGTGCGGAATCGTTAGGGGGAAGTGGTGTTTCTCCGGTCGTAGTGTCAATCATCTTTGGTAGATATTCAGGTACGGTGCATTAACTAAATCTTCATTGATTTATTATCGTTGCAATTAGGTGGAATTTGTCATTTGTGGATTTGCCACAGGATATACCAGAACTAAATAGCTTCGTCTGCATCTTGGATGACTTATCTGTAACAAAAATATAAATTATCAATATTAGGCATTATCCGATGTGATGAGAATGATTATATTGATTTTTATATAATAGAAACATTATTCAAAATATATTACTATTAAAGAGATTCTGAAATTTTAAGATAAATATAATTCTGTAAAGGATTAAACCACAATTGTGGTTAAAACAGCTTGGACTTTTGTAGTTATACTTAATGTATGTATTTATTGTCAACTTTTTAAATTTTAAAATCCGTAAAATAGTTTCGAAATACAATTCAGATTTCTGCTTATAATCTGAGCCTTCTAAAAATTGCAAGGCAAACAGACGTTGATAAAAGATGTTAAAAGAGACATGGGGAATCTAAAATTTGCATTCCACGACATGTCTTTTACAACTAAGCAGAAATCCTTAGCGAATTGTGCTTCTAGTACTCACACAGAGTAAATACGAAATAAAATGAAAATACAGCAAATATTTGATTTCACGCAAACAAATCCTATGTATCTGTTGGATATATAGGATTTGTTTGCGTGAAATCATTTTTAAACAGAAACAAATCCTATGTATCTGTTTGCGTGTGATTTTACGCAAACAGATACATAGGATTTGTTTGCGTGAAATCAAATATTTGCTGTCTTTTTCATTTTTTTTTAAATTTTATTAAAGTTTTAATTAGGTGAAGATATTAACAGTAACTACAAATGTTATGTGGAATAGAAAACCTAATTCGTATACAGCAGTATTTTGCGCAATGTTTGTGACTGTGCAAATGGATTAGATACTGTAGGGTCCTGTTCTCAGATTACCGCAATTATGACCTAGCAATGCAAAGTATGAGTAAAAAAAATTAGACCAGAAAAAAATCACTTATTTATCACATAGATAGTGACCTATAATAAACGAAGATAGTAACGATGACTAAAACTATTATTGTAATGTGATTTTGAACATTTTTTACTTGTTTTGTAATTTTATAGAATTTCAGTAATATTAGTGGAAATTGAAAAATGGTCTAATAAGTATAAAATTATATATAATTATTTTATTTAATTGATGGATTTGACCGTTACTTGATGGTAATTCATTTTATGTAACAATAAAACACTGAAAAGTTTGTTTTCAAAACTTCCACAAAATTTATTCTAAAATCTTATCACTACAGCTTTTTTAGCAGAGTGACTTTCTCAAGTGATCTATTTTTAAACTTTGAGGGTATACAAGGCAACTATCGAACACGGTGATTAATTTAATCTTGCCCAAGTACTTTCGATCAATAGATCATCTTAAAGTGTTTGTTTGTCTTAGTGTATTGTATTTTGTATTGTTATGTCCAAATTTTACATTTATGACATTCTACTATGTCGGATAGGCCACAATTGACGAAATGCCCCTGAAGATGATCTATTGATCGAAAGTACTTGGGAAAGATTAAATTAATCACCGTGTTCGATAGTTGCCTTGTATACCCTCAAAGTTTAATTATTCGAAAATTCAACCTTATATTGATCTATTTTTGGCATGCTTTTATACTTTATAGTCTTTGATGAAATATGTTGTGGAGGGAAGAACTGTTTATTTCAAGTTGGTCATTTATAATTATATTTTTGTTTTTTAATTTGTTAATTTTCATAGATTCTAACAAAGATAGCTTAAGGCCTTTATTTTGAATGTGAAGAATTTGAAATTCGTTATTAAAAGAATGATTATGATCTAGAAGGTGAAGTACGTATGTGGAATCTGTTTTTTAAAAGCCCTTTTATGTTTTGCTATTCGTTTATTAAAATTTCTACTAGTTTGACCGATGTAAATTTTTGAGCAATCGCCGCGTTGTTTTTAATATATTTGCCTGAGTTATCTGGGCCTAAGTTATTGTAGCCTAATTATTTTATTAATTTACTAATTAACAAATGTGATGCTATGTGCTTAATGCATGAAAAAAAAGCACCGACATATGCAGTTTTTTTTAATTTAGTGTATGACCTAAATCCTATAATGGCCAACATGACACTGCTGTTAAAAAAAACGGAAAAAATTGATGAAAAATCGTTCTTTATTTACATGCAGTTGCGATTACGTGCTAAAAATATGAAAAAAACATGTTCCTTATATGTTCTGGTGAGAAAATGGCGAACCTGACATTGATACACAGTCGAGTGTTTATGTGCTAAAACTATGTGTGGAAAAACACCAAAAAAGTGTTTTTTTTTGTATTTTGAGAATTTTCCAGAGAAAAAATGGCAAATTTAACCCTGTCATTAAGAAGTTTTTATTTTATTTTATTTAATATTAGATATATTTAAGTCAGCCTTGTGTATATACAACCAGATATACACTGTTAATTAATAAATTTATATAAATAGTAATTAAAAACATAATTTATAAGTTATATCCTAGATAATATTATTAAAAAAAATAATTATATGAGGGTATTTTTAAGAATCTAGAATATAATAAATGTTAAAATTTTTTTTTATAATTATAAGTCAGCCATATGTATATGCAACCAGATATACACTGTAGTGTCAAAGTCAAAAAGGAGTTTATTTTATTTGGAATTTTAATTTAAATGTAATTACATATGTAAAATAGTAATAATATATGTGATATAAATGTTTAAGTTACATATAATAGTGTAATTCTGATCTGGAGAGCCTAAAGTCAAGTAAATTGTACATGTAGACCAGAGAAAATTCTAGAAATGTCAATAGGACTATTTGCATAATACATCATAGACAAAAAACCATTCCATTTATTCCAGAATGTTCAGATAGAAAAAATAGAATGATTCGAACATTATTTATTGCTAGATTATTCTGGAACCAATGAAGATATATAAACCATGTAATTGGAGCGGGAGCAGTTAGTTATCAGTTAGAAGTTAGTTAGTTAGTTACAGATTATGATTAGTTACAGTTGATTAATCAGTTAGTAAAGTGAGTCAGTAAAGTTATAATTCAAGAATTTAGTTACAAGAAGATTATTAATTGAGTAAAGTGAGTTAGTTAGAGGAAATTAAATCAGTTAGTTACAGATTGTGATTAGTTACAGTTAGTAGAAGTTAGTTCAGTTAGATCAGTCAGTAAAGTTAGAATTCAAGTTACAAGAAGATTATTAATTGAGTTAAAGTGAGTTAAGTAGAAGAAATTAAAGCAGTTAATTACAGATTATGTTT